GCGGGAGGGCTCCAGGGCATGTCCGGCCCATCTCACTGCATCCCGACCGGCCAGACCCCAGCAGCAAGCTAACCTGCCAGTCAGAGCGTCTGCCCTTGGTGGTCAGTGCACATCATAGCGACTGGTCAATTGGTCGACTATCTGCCCCTTGGTGGTCAGTGCACATCATAGCAAGCAGTTGAGTGGCCTTAGCATATCATTAGCATATTATGCTTTGATTGGTTAAACAGATGACTGGAAGACTGGACACTTAGCATATTAGGCTTTTATTATATACTACAGGCCTGGTGCATGAAAATTCATGCACTAGAGGGAGGGGTCCCTCAACCTGGCCTGCCTCCTCTCACAATCCTGGAGCCCTCAGGGGCAGGAGGTGACCTGGCGATCAAGGGAAGGCAACGCCCCATCACACCTCTGCTGCTGCCACTGCCAGCAGCACAAACCTCAGCCAGCCCTGGTTATCTGAGCCTTGAGTGGCCTGGGCGGCTGGGCAGCCACCATAAAGGCTTGCCAGCGCCTCAGGCCAGCCCTGGGCAGCTGGGCAGACAACATCCGAGGCTTGCCTGTGCCTCGGGCTGTCCCTGGGTGGCTGGGGGGCTGAGGGGACTGGGGAACTCTGGAGGCAGGCACACGGAGTGGTCTGGCCCACTTGGGGGTGGGCCTGGCCTTGCCATGTCCCTGCTGCCCCAGTGGGGCTATGGAGACTGGGCGCTGCCATCTTGTGGCTGTGGGCGCTGCCATCTTTGAGGGAGTAGTAGTCAATTAGCATATTCCCTCCTTATTGGCTGTGGGCGCCGCCATCTTTGAGGGTGTGCCAATCAATTAGCATATTCCCTCTTTATTGGCTGTGGAAACTGCCATCTTTGATTTATATTACCTAGTGATTTAGCTATTATATTGGACTAGAGGCCCGGTGCATGAATTTGTGCACCAGTGGGGTCCCTCAGCCTGGCCTGTGGGATCAGGCCAAAATCAGCTCTCCAATATCCCCTGAGGGGTCCTTGATTGCAAAAGGGTGCAGGACAGAGGGTCAATTAGCATAATCCCTCTTTATTAGATAGGAGGATTTGTCCAAGAACCTGATTTTTTACTTGTGTGTTAGAGTTTTTCAAATTCATTTTTTCTACTTTTATTAGTTCTTACTTTCTACTCCCATTTTTTCTTTTCTTCATTTACTAAGTTTTGAATCATGTTTAATTCATTTATTTTGCTTATATCATTTATGAATATACATAATTAATGTTCCTTTGAGAGTTGTTTTAGCTCTATACCTTAGGCATCCTAATATGTACTATTTTTATTACTGTTATAGACTAGATAAACTGCACTATCAACTTAGGTTTTATCATAGACTCAATAATTATCTTATTACAGCAATGTTTATCTGTTTATTTAGCTACAAACCCAGATGGTTTAGCTTTTTTGTTCAGATTTTATTTTTAATTTACAGCTTTTTATTTCATTGCATGTATAGATGGTATGATATTTCTATTTCCCATAATTTTATTTCTAAATCATTGTTTCATTAGGAAATTTTACATGAAAAAGAAAAGATACTGACTGGTGTACCTTATTGATTGATATCAAACAGAAAAACAAGTACCAACTTTGTACAAATTATTTTACTTCTCTTAAATGGCAGAGGTATCAATAGCCTCTTAATTTTACTTAGTTTTAAAGTTCAGTGTTTCTCTTCCCACTGTATTAGTGGTGAAAGAAAGAAGTTTTGGCAGAGAAAAGGGAAGAATGAATGGATGACCTATGATGATTACTACTAAGTGATTTTTAAAGATAAGAAATTTTAGGACTGATTTTAGCTCTAGAAGGACCACAACAATATAGACATACCTATGAGCAGCACTGCCTAAGAGGGCTTTGGTATTCTACGTTCTTAATTCTACAAAACTTATCACCTTAATTAAGCCTAATATCAAATTATAGACCATGGGGCTCTGATTAGTCTGGCTTTGGTCATGGTATAGTATCCTAGACAGCTGAGTCCACTGTCCGACAGCTGTAGAATGTAGAGCCAAGAACAATCCTATATAATATAAGCCCAGCAACCAAACGGTGGAACAAACAGAACAACTGGTTGACCAGTTGCTGTGACGCACACTGACCACCAGGGGGCAGACACTCAACGTAAGAGCTTCCCCTGGTTGTCAGTGCGCTATCACAGTGGGAGTGTTGCTCCGCTGACTGGGATGAGCAGCTGCTCCCGCTGCAAACCCTGAGCTGATGGGCAGGAACTCAGGCTGCAATCATCACCTTTTCGCCCCAGGCTCCTCCTGCTCACTCCATGCTGCCTTCTCCAGATGCCTGCAGGCTGTGCAGCGCTGCCACTGGGCTCGCAGAGCTGACCCCAGAGGCTGGGAGGTGGATTCGTGGCCACCACAGGACTGAGGCCTACTCCGCCACCTCTTGGTGCTATTCTCCCAGACTCTGACCGGGTCCCCTGGAGAGGCGAGTGCTCTGGCTCCACAGAAGATGCTGGACCAGGAAGCAGCTGCTCAGAGGGTGGGTCCACAGCCACTCAGCAGACCGGATGAGAGGCGCTCCCACAGTGGGATGATCCCCAAAGGCCACACCCCCCCACACCAGTGCACAAATCCCATGCACCGGGCTCTAGTATTAAAAAAATCTCTCAAGGGAGTTCACAGTCACAGCCTGGAGACGCTGCCTGACCAAAGTAGCCAAGACTGAAGTTACTTTGGTTTGGTAAATTATCATCACTTTCCTATTAGTGACTTTAGTTGTTTATGAGTTCTTTATATGAACATCTTATAAGGGTTTCCTCTTTTAGTTTTTAACTAATCAGTAGCTTTTATTTTCATTATGATTGTATTCAGCTAAGTGCCTCACAATGTTATTAGTTCAAGGGAAGGGTTCAATGAACGCTGAATTGAATATACCTTTTACATTTTTTAATATATATATATACATATATATGTATTTTTTTTTAGTTTAGAGAGAGAGAAACATTGATTAGTTGTCTCCCATAGACTAGAGACCGAACCCTCAACCTGGGCATGTGCCCCAACCAGGAACCAAACTGGTGATCTTTCAGTGCACAGGATGGTGTTCAACCAACCCAACCAACCGAGCCACAACAGGCAGAGCAAACCTTCACATTTTAAATGGACTTGTAATAGCACCCTCCTATTCAGTGTTGTGATGCCTTTCTAAAGTCCAGGTAGTTTTGCTTTGTTTCTTGAAAGCATAGCCTATCAAAATATGAAGAAAAGATGAATGCAAGCTTTAATTATTTGTTTCTTTGGAAAGCTCTTTTATCCCCTCTTAGAAGACAAATAGAGTTTCCTGTACCAGAGTCTTGGCTGCAATGCAGCCTG